ACACAAAGCCAAAGGAGCAGCTGCAGGAGCGGGAGAAGTAGAACATGTAGGCATCATACTGCGAGAGCATGTCGCTTTCGATCTCCAGGTCGCGTCTGCGTCTGTTGCCGAACTCTCGTTGCAGGCTCCATGCGAAGTTGCCCACATGCTTCCTGTCATAAAGACCTTGCCAATCAAACAACGTCAAGCTTGCCAAATACTTCTCTTCAGCCTCCAGGCACCAATGGGTCTCACAGCACAGCCTGGACGGATAAAACTCCATGCGGTTCCAGCCAGGCCTTGGCACTCCGTGAACCGGTGCACGGAACAAAAAACATGTCCCCCTGTCCCCGGCTCTTCCTTCTACTTCTTCGAGGTTGATATTCAACTAGGCGGTGTGGCTTCGGGATGTTTTCGACTTCGGCGTTTCTCAACCAAACGTTTTTGGGCTTGGGTTTAGGGTTAGGGCTTAGTTGGAAAGCCTGAAGTCAAACCCCTGGCCTGACCAGGTCTGCCACTACAGCCGGCAAGCGGTTGGAGGTGGTTGGTGGGTGGTACCAGAGCGCATCGGAATTTCGGCCATGAGTCGATCCCACGAATAAGACCTGGAATTCGCGATGGCCATTCCCAGGCACTCCCGGTGTGGGTTCGCCACGGGCTTGCAACGGGAAGCAGCCTTCCAGGTCTTCTGGAAAGTACTCCGTGCCCGTGAAGGCGTGCACCTTCTGCCAGACATGCGATGGCAAAGGCGGGAGCTGCAGTTTCCTCGCGGCGCAAATAGCCACAAGTACGGCCGGGCGGTCCATGATGGGATCGGAATCAAGGCAACCCCTGAAATTGAGAGGCACGCATACGGCTCCCTCGCTTCGAGCCTCCATAGGATACAGGCAAAGCAGGGGAGGTGACCTTGAGCTTTAAGGATGGGCCTGGGTGCGGCGACCGTGCGCGTGGCCCGCTGCGGCATGGCAAGGAGTGTGGTGTCATCACCTCAGCTAGCCGACCAGCACAAGAGTCTTGAAGCCTGTTTCTGAGTTGTTTCGAAGTGTCCGAGAACTCCAAGCCCCAATTTCAATCTAAAGCATGTGGAGACCAAGCCCCTCGCTGTCCTCTTCTTCGTGCGGGATGTGCAGATCCTTAGGCTTTGCTGAGTTTGCGTTCTGGGAGTAGCCACAGCGACCCCCGTTCCTGACCAGATGTGCTGCTCTGGCGTGCTGCGCATACCTTCACTTTGGACCCTCCCTTGGCAGTGCAGACCTGAAGCCCTTCATGGAGACCTGAAGCAAATCCTAGAAGCAACGCCTCTAATCCATCAGAACTGCAGAACAGCGCCCAAACCTCCTTGAAGGGCCGAAGCCGATGTGTGTGTGTGTGTGTGTGTGTGTGTGTGTGTGTCGTCCAAGCGGCTTTTGACTGGCAGCTTGCAGACGGTGCCTTGGCCGATGTAGTTAAAACAGAACAATGCTGCCGCCACCACCACCACCACCACGACGACTGCGACGACGACCCGCAGTTGCTGAGTAGTACTGCTTAGCTTAACTGAAGAGGCCCAACACGCAACACGTACGGGGTTTGCTTTCAATGTTCGCGACAGGACGTCACGGAGGGCTATACATCAATCATTGCACGACGAACGTCTTACTTCTTGTGGCAAGTGATAACCTCCCAAGTTCCTGGCCGCATCGGTGCAACTCCCGTCCACTGCGGTCCAAGACAGCACGAACCTTGTGGTTGGGCTTTCAGTTCCAGGTAGACAAGAATTGCGGGGTTAACGACTTCAGGATGGGGGGCCCTTGAGGCACCATACTAGACATGGTTTGCTATGTCCACGGATGCGAGCACCATAGGGAGCATTGAGGAAGGGTTGAGGGCAAGATTCGATCTGGACAAGAGGTTTGAGAGAGGTGAACTCAGGCTTAAGTTAAGGACTGAACCCTTCAGGCTAAGTGGAGGACCATGTGGGCTGGGTCCTTCCAGGGGTGCATCAGACTTGCTGGCGACTTCCGCGGAGCTTTCGCCAGTCCAGCGCCAGCGCTAGATTCGGAGCCGATTTGAATGATGAGATTTTTTGTTCGCATCATTCGCCAGACAAGTCATTTCGTTTCGCACGTCTGCTCGTGGATCTCTCGCGGGCTCGCCGGTCATGGAACGTGGACTTTATGCAAACTCCTTACAAGGACCTTTAGATCAACACCCACATCGGAACACCCGCAGAAACTGCCAGAAACTCAAGCAGTGATATCAGTAGACAAAACAGGGTCTTATTTAGTTAGAATCGGTATTATGGTATTTTGGACAGCTATGTATGATATACAACTTGGAGGGTGCGAAAGGATACGGATCATGACGCAGGCTCCTGCATGAGATGATTTAGATGTCATGAAAGCACCTCAGCCCGCTGCAAGGTTAATAGCTGTGAGATCAGAAGGCCCTTTCTCATAGCACCTGAGCTTGCGGGTCGCCATTGAATGGACACATATTCCAGACGGCGTCCAAGCACATGCGGCCGCACTTCGCGCACTTCGCTGCTAAACCATGTCAGCCCTAAAGCATACACCAAAGGCACCAGAGTCAACAGTTGCGCAGAAGTCCACGCGCCAAGTTACAACACTCACATCAGATCGTCAATGCGGCTGCAACTTCAGCTGCAGGAATAGTGGGCTGCGAAAAACTAGGCAAGCCCTAAATTGCCCCATTCTAGCTCGGCCCAGCACTTTGCGCAACGAGACGGTGAGGAGGAGGATCGACTCACCTGACCATACGTCGATGCCTTAGTGTCCCGGGCTTGTAAAATTGTAGTACTTTAGTACTTTAATTTCCCAAACAGCCTACTGTTGGGGTTCTAAATTCATTCAAGGATTGCCGACATCCTGAGGACTGTTGCCGAGTTCCTGGGCTCCTTGCATCCCCTTGTCTCCCTTTGTCTCCCTTTGTCTCCCTTTGTCTCCCTTTGTCTCCCTTCGTGTGGGTGGCTTTGCCGGGTTGCTGTGCTCCTCGCCTCCCTTTGTCTCCCTTCGTCTCCCCGTCGCCTCCTGTTTCTTTGATGTGTCTTTGACTGTTTGGGGTCTTCGGTGGTGTAATGTCACAATGTTATAGTAGTCTGCTCTTTTTTTTAAGACGATATTAGGTTGACCTATTGCTCGATTTATGTAATGTTGCTGCACTATAGGAAAAGTATCTACATATCTGGCCAACCCCCCCCCCCCCCCCCTCCCCCTGGAGAGCCCACCTCCGGAGGGTGAGGCGCCAGATACCTCTAAGCCTTCGGTTTAGGGTTTAGGGTTTAGGGTTTAGGGTGATTTGTTAAATCCGAGTCACAGCCTTGGTATCTGAACATGCAAAGGGTGAGGGTTTGAGATGCCCTTGAATTCTTAATCTTGATTTGTTGTTATCCAAGTGATTGAGGAGTCATAAGTACAGCATTGCAATACTCACAATCTTATTTCTCATGTGTGGTTGGCTTTATGTATGATTGGAAAGAGTTCTTGTCACACAACATGTTGCTTAGAAGAAGGGGGTGCAGTGCAGGGTCTTCCAGCATAGCCACCCCCCCCCCCCCCCCCCCCCCCGGTCCCATCCCCCCTGTAAGACCAGTAACAAGATAACACCGCACGAATAATAAAAACACGTTGCCCCTCCCTCCTCCGGAGACCCGTAGTAAGAGACTACTCGTAGGAATAGACGTCACCCTACCCTGCCAAGGCCGAGAACCCAATCCCCTGCATACTAGACATGTATGCAAACCTTGTCCAAGGAGGATAACACCCGTAACCGAAAAATACCGCAGGAACAGAATAAGGTCTGAAAGAATATGCTGAAACGACTCCTTCCTTTTCCTGATTAAATCTTAATCGAAAGGGTCTGGCCCTAAACCCCAAGTGAAATAGGAGCCTTAAGCAAAACAAGAACTCCTTTTCCTCATTTAACAAAACGGTCTGGCCCACCTTAAGCGAACTAGGAGCCTTAAGCAAAATAAGAACAAATTCGGAGAAAGGCACAAGGTCTGGCCCTAGCACTTAAACAAATGCGCGGAAGTGGCGCCCCCATTTTCGTGTAAGGTTTATAAACAAGGTTTGGCCCTAAACCTTAAAGGATGCCCTAAATCCGAAATGCTTATATCCTGAAATGACTCCCTCCTTTTCCTCATTAGATCGTAGTCGAAAAGGTTTGGCCTGAAATAGAAATGTGGACATGACTCCCTCTTCCTCTGGGCCTAATCCTCACGCGAAATAGGAAAGGTCCCCCGGCCCCCTTTCTGCCCTTGAGGTCCCCCCACCCTCCCCGCCCGCTAATGAGCAATGGTTCCCCCGTGCTTGTAAGCAAATTGTAAAAGCAAGGCTTTGCAACCAAGATTAGGCACGAACTCTATATTGTTTTCAACATGTAAGGTTAAAACTTGGAGGCACCTCAAACCCTGACCCTCGGAACATGGAAATCTTAAACCATCACCCTCTAGATATTGAATGATATTAAATTACAAATACTGTATCTGACATCGTAACCATCCAAGTACACATGCAAAGCTTGAAAAGGTGGGTTCTGGTAATGGGGGGGGGGGGGTAGCATATATATATATATATATACATACACATAATTTCTTACATATTGCATACTATATGCTTGTGTATATATATATACAAATATATATATATATATATCAAATCCATAATGTATGGATCCTGGGCCGTTACTAGGACATGCCCCGGTTGCAGGTCTGAAGAGGTCTAGCGAACATAGCCTTATGAGAGCCTTGCCAGTGATTTTCCGAAAGAACTGCTGATGTAGCTGAGGCACTTCTGAAAACGTAGTTCGGTAACGCACGCGTTAGAAAGTGCCGAGCCCATCGGCAACTTGGGCCACAGGGCCAAGCGGCAGCAAAGTGATTTGAGCAAGCTATGCGAACTGCTTGCTTTCACCCGAAGCCCGGTATCCACCTCTTTTCAATTCATGCATGCTCACTGGGGCCCAAACAACTGACATGACACACACACACACACACACACACACACCCTGCCAAGGGGTACCTCGCTGATCGCGGTAAGAGACAGCTGCCGCTGAAAGCTCAGCTGCAGTCGCACCTGTTCAGAGCCGTAGAGTACAGACTACAACTCCAAATCCTAAGCCCTGCCACATCTTGCATTGTACTTACTGTTGGTTAGGATGGATTGGGGGAATGAGGTACCCTATATAATCCCTTAAGGGATGCAGGGCCCTAATTCCCTCATTCGCTGCTCACCAACAGTAAGTGTAAGCCTAAACTGCAGAGTCCTTCTCGAATGCAGTGGAGCCTCATTGCGCGCATAGGGAACCTGGCCAAGCAGCGCTGGCTAGCAGTTAGTTCATTTTGTGGTGCACCATGTGATGATTCGCTGTCCCATGTCGTCCCCTACCATGCAAGTTTCGCATTCATACCCCGCAAGCAGACTGCTCCTTGTACCTTCAAAGTCTACCTGAGGGCGGAACTGAGACGCTCGGCTGCAGCGACAACGCTTGCATCCCAACGGCTGTCAGCGCGTAGGAGTGGATCTGCGCAGGGTCGAGTCAAGTCTGGAGCAACGCATGTGCATCGCCGGGGCCCTTGTAAAGCCTAGCGGCCCTAGCGCTTTGTGCCTCGATATGCACTTACGATGCCCACTTGCCCAGATGCGGGGGTCACACCTCCATATTCGCCTCCAACACATCGCCGTGGTCGTCCCGCAGGAGCACGCCCCAACCTCGATCAACAGTGCCCACCCACAAATGCATCTGCTCTGGACCTTGCTTGCCTTCAGCACGCGGAACTTCCGTCCACTTTACAAATAACTCGCAGTCCTTGTGGTCCAAGCGCGAATCAAGGCCCAAGCGAGTGGAAACAACTCCGTCCAGTGTGCCTGGATTCCTCACGTGTCAGCGGTGGCCAATTTGATGCCTGCCCAGCCGACTAGAATCAACACAGCATCCCAGACCCTGGATCCAAGAAGTAGAACCCCCGAATAGTACCCTATATTACCATCGGGTCATTCTTAGGAAGCCTTAGGGGTATCTGATTTCGGATCCTCCCAGGAATCTGGGATGTGATGGAGGCAGCCAAAGAAGTCCTGGCATAAATGGAGAGCTCGTACTCATTGTTCGGGAGCAGGAAGTGGCCCTGAGGGGACAGCCGCTGGAAACGCCCAAAACCACTGGCCTCCACCAGTCCCCCAAGCCCTCACTCAACAAAAAGGGCGGCAACCACGCACATCCTGCACCTGTGCCCATCCGAAACCCTAAACCCTAAACCCTAAACCCTAAACCCTAAACCCTAAACCCTAAAGGCATCCCTAAAAGCATCCCAAAACCCCCCCCCCCCCCCAGGAGCTCCGAGATCTGCCTCCGCGACGCGGAAGTCGATGATGTCATGGTCGTCCGTGTATTCCAGGCCCGAGGTCGCGTGTAAGGCTGTGCAGGTTCCTCCCCCCCCACGTTGCATTTGAACAGGGCTTTTTTGGGGGGGTTTATTTTGGGGTTGATGAAGGTTCATCTAAGGGGCTTGCTAGGGTTTTTTGGTCTAGAGGTTCTGGGATTCTAGTGACTCAGGCTATGCTTTCGGGCGGTGCTTTGTTTTGGGATTTTGGCGCTCATAGGCCCTGAGGGTGGTTGCATGCAAAACCAGCCGCCACTCTTGTTACCCCCCCCCCCGAAGCCAAAGAAGTTGAGGTTCAGCTGAGCTCAGGGAGTGATTGGTAGTTGCAGACTTCATACTCCTCAGCTGGCCCCGCCCCGTCCTGGAGGCATAGACAGCAGGATGAAGGAAGGCGTGCAGGACAGCTCGAATGCCTCTCCGGCTATCCATCCCCCATCTGAACCCGTGGGTTTAGGGTTTAGGGCTTAGGGCTTAGGGTTTAGGGTCCGGACTACACCCTAGTTGTTTCCCCGGGTTACGAGGGATGAAAAAGCCGCCCTCAGCGTCACCTTGAGGGCTGAACTCTGATCCCCCTGAAGCCCCTAAACCCAAAACTCTAAACCCTCAAGCCTCTGTAACTTGAAATTATTCAAACTCAAAAAATCCAGAAAAAGAAACTTTCCTCGAAACTCCTCGAAACTCCTCGGAACTCTTTGAAACTCCTCGAAACTTTCCCCGGACCTGAACCCTGAATAATTTCAATAAACCCTAAACCCTAAACCCCAAACCCTAAAACCCCAAAACCCCAAACCCCAAACCCTAAACCCCAAACCCTAAACCCTAAACCCTAAACCCTAAACCCTAAACCCTAAGCCCTAAACCCTAACCCCATTGCCTGCGCGGCATGGATCTCCACACGCCCGCCAGCTGGCACGTAGCTCGTAGGCCTTAATCGGAGCCAACTGGGGGTTCAAGGGTTTAGGGTTTAGGGTTTAGGGTTAGGGTTGATTGAAGGGAATGCCTACGTTTGTCTTGCGGGGGGGGGGGGGGGTTTCGGGAGGGTCTAAACCGGAAAAACAGGCAGACCTTAAATCTTTTCTTTTTGGGTCTCTGCTGCAATTTCTGTGCACCCTCCATTTCAAAGATTCAGGGTGTTGGGCCAGTCCAAGCTCCCTGTGAGCGGGGGCCTCAGCCAAAGGAAGATCTGCACAGAACCTGCGCTGGGCCAGCTCCAGGAAAGCTTAGGCTGGGGGTTTTTTCCATGTTTGCGCCCGTGCGCGTAACATGTGTAACCCTAAACCCTAAACCCTAAACCCTAAACTCTGAAGGCCAAAGTCGCAAAGGGCCGGCGAGCCTTCCTTCTCCGGGCTGCTGGGCTGTATGGTTGCCTTGCTGGCCAGGCTAGCACCCAGAGTTCCCTGGTAAACAAACAGTGAGAAAACCCAAGTAGCTTCCACATCCTTCCAAAATCCGCGAAACCTCGAAGGATCTTGCAAGACACGCCGGAAACAGCTCATGTTACTCATGGAGAAGTCGGGAGCCAGGTGGGCGGCCACATGGCTGAGCGAGATGGTAAGGATTGCTGGTGCATCTTCGTCCTTCTCAACCTTAAACCCTAAATCCGAAGCCCTAATCCTTAGGCTTCCATCCTGTATGCCAAGTTCGGAGAGGTCCCTGAAATTTCGGAGATGGAGGCTCGCCTGACTCTCGCAACCCTAACCCTAAACCCCAAACCCCAAACCCTACACAAGGGGAACTCACCAAGGAGCGGCCTGCAACGCCTGCGCGAGCTCGAAGCCCATGACTCGTCCGCGCTGCCTGCGCCAGACAAGGCCCCCCCACTCGGCCGCTGGGGGTCGGAGAACACGCATGAGGCACGGCATTGTGGATTTCTCTGTGAGTTGTGACAGAAAAATGCAGAGGCAAGGATGTTGCAACAGAAGGGTGCTATAAGTCTAGGCCAGAAGGCCCTGCTTGCCCAGAGCAAGCAAGTAGCTGTAACAAGAGAGCAAACAATGCAAACACCGCCAGCAGCTAGTGCGAACTTCTACTTCTGACCGTCACTGCTACTACGCCGACTTCAACTGTACCTTCCAGAGCCCGTGTCGGCCTGACATCTGGGAACTCACCAAGTCGGGCCGCCGCGGCCGTAACGTTCGCAAAAGTCTGCAAGGTCCACCTGGCAACCACTGGCAAGCGCCGGAAGCTCAGGTGGGGGCTTGCGGCTTAAAAACCCTGATGCCTCATTGAGCCGTTACACTTTGAAAAGCCGCAGACCACCTTCCACAGGTAGCTTAAGGCCGAAACAACAACTTTGGCACACACACACACACACACACACACACACACCCTGAGACATACGCCAAGGCCCTAAAGCCCCGAAGTGCAGGGGTTAGGGTTCAGGGTTTAGGGTTTAGGGGTGGGCTCACCAGTTCGAGCTCGGTGTGCGGATTGGGTTCACGGCGCGGAGGACGAGGGTGTGCTGGCCAGACTCCAAGGTCCCCTGGCAAAGGCAAGGGGGGGGGGGGGCTTTCTCTATCAAGCTCCAGGGATCAACATACTGTAAGGATGCAGGCCTTGATCTTCTATATCAATCACACACACACACACACACACCGAAAAAAACAACACAAAGGGTCGCGTGTGCTGCTTCACCTTGGTTGAGGGTGGCTTCCCTTCAGGCTGCTCGATAGGTGCGCTCGGCCCCCTTGAAGTTTCAACATGTACGCGGATACGCGAAACAGCGTGCGTTGGCGAACTTTACAGAGCAATCAACATGGCGCAACAGTTTCTCGCCGCATAATCTTGGCGGCCACTGCCAGCGGAACAAAACCACGCAAAGAGCGCCGCGAGCTGTTGAGTGAAGCTCCACTCATGTTCTAGGCTTAAGGACAGGAGCTCTCTCAGAGCACAGCAAGAGGCATAATCAAGAGATTCTCTAGCTAAACGGGTGAGCTGCTGTTGGAGCTGACGACAAGTATTCCGCACGCAATCGCAGCAGTCACTAGGGAAGTCGAAAGACTCGAGTGCTCAGTTCCCTTCGCTCCCTTCTGCCTGTGTCCGCTGCGCCACTGCCAGTCGCCCGATGCCTTCGCAGCCCTCGGAAGCATGAAGAGATCGCACGTGTAGGTGATGAACTACAGCGCACGTGGGGGCTCCAAACTCTGGCTAGGAGGGTTAGACATTGGGGGCGCGGTCCGCAGTTCCCACGGCCGTCCCAGCCATCTGTATGTTCTTGCGATGTCGATGTTTTACGCTGGGGATGGGAGCTGTCAGGCTGCAGTGGATGCAAGGTAGGCAGAAAAAGGACTGCAGCCTTGCAAAATTGGGGCTTTTACTTTGAGAAGCTGCACCTCTAAGGTATCCTGCTGAATCGTTGCATCCTCTGGGTCCAACTTCCCGAAGCCTCCAAGCAGGGCTTGGGCTCCCAGCCGCGTAGTCTGGATCCGGCACGGCTGCCAAACAGCCCAGGGCAAACTCAACACCTGGCTGCATTTGAGGGGGGGGGTGGGGGGGGGGGGGGGGGAGGGGGGGGGGAGGGGGCGTTATGGGCGAGGGTTATATGGGCTCTTCGGAGCTGGTTTGCTTCTGGAGGTCGGCTTTGGCACAGCATCTTGGCGCTGCATTCCCTCTATCTATCTCCAGCCCTCTCCCAGCTGCGGGGGGCACCTATGGGCGCCTCGAGTCGCACGAAGATGCTGGAGCCTGTAGAGCTCCGGGATGCTCGCAGAGGTTGGGGATGCTAAGAAGCGCAGGGAGTGAGAATATGTTTCCCTAAACCCTAAACCCTAAACCCTAAACCCTGAACCCTGAACCCTGAACCCTAAACCCTAAAACCGAAGGCACTGGTGCAAGGCGAGGAGTTGAAAATGAAGCAGGCGTTGGGGGAGATGCAAGTTAAAGCTGCGGTGGAAGCTCCTATACTCCCCTTAGAACCTTAGTAAACATGTTGTTTTTATGGTATCCTCTTGGGTTTTATATGAACAAAAAATTCCCGAATATTCCCGAGGGGGATATAGGCTCTTAAGCGCTGTCTTTCTATGGCTCCACAACCCGGACAGGACAGAGGAAAAAGAAGCGTGCGCCTTATTGACAATCCGGCCGCGACACCCACAAATTCCTTTATCCAGGTAGATCTAAAGTCTCCGAGCCTCATCCTGAGCAACCCGCAAGCCCACCGTGGCCACCCCTTCGACACCAATGAACACGACGCCACTTCCTTCCTCAAACCCTAAGCCTAACGCCCTGAACCCTATACAGCCTGAAGCCCGAACAGCCCGAAACAACCCCCCGAGCCCTAAACCCTAAACCCTAAACCCTAAACCCCAAACCCCAAACCCCAAACCCCCCAACAGCCCTAAGGCTCCTAAAGCTCCGGAGGCTCCCGACCATGAGAGTCCAGGACGTTCTGATTGAGGAAGCGAACTTCGACGATGCTGGCCTCTGTGGGGGGGGTTGGGGGGGGACTGGAGAGGGAGGGGGGTTTTTTGGGGTTGGGGTGTAGGGTTTTCGGGTTTAAGTATGTGGGGGGGGGGGGCTGACTGGAGAGGGGGGGGGGGGGTGTTTTGGGGTTAGGGTGTAGGGGTTGAGGGTTTAGGGGTTTAGGGTTTTGAAGTCGACCAAGCCCCCTGCTCCTTTTGTTGTTGGAAGGGGGGGGGGGGTCCCGTGGGAAAGGGTAGAACGGAAGAGGGCCCCACATGCTAGCTCCCGACTCAACTAGAGGCAGTCCTGGGTGATGTCCTTTGTGTCTTTTTGTGGTGCGAACTACTACGGGGTGTTTACCAACTGGGGGAGGGAGGACTCCCGTGTATATCCCTAAAAAACATTCTTTCTTTCAGGAACCCCGCAAAGGGTTTTACCATTTCGGGAAACCCCCCCAAAATATGACGCAGCACACGACCTTAGAGCTTTCCAAGCCTCCGCTGAGGTGAGACGCCGCAACACGGTCCATTCTTCAGGAGCTCGTTATTCGGGCTTCCTACTTTATTCGTTATATATCACTTTCATACCAAGACATGGTGCGTTCTTCAACCTCAAACCTGCAACCCTCCAACTCGAGGTTCAGAGGTGGTACCAAATTAGGCCATCAGGCCCGACAAGGCAGTGGGGACCCCGCCCGGCGCGGGATGTTGCCGTAAGGCTCGGCCACCTCAGTCTGCAATCACGGGTAAGATCAACAGAGGACTGGACTTGGCAAGCGCAAGCACGAAGGAAAGACGCTACGCTATTGCAACGTTGAAGCCGCGACGTCTGATTGAAGTTGAAGTCACGTGGAAAGAACTCATCTGCTAGGGCAGGGTGCAACTGCATGCTCATCTGGTTTTCTGTTGTAAAACCGCCAATTAAACCATCTATTAGATTCACTACCTAACCACAAGCCCAACAATAAGCAACCTTTCGTGGGAAACCTCCTGCTCCCTGTTCAATGCTTGTGCACAAGATCCCCCCCCCCCCCCCCCCCGCCCCCCCCCCCCCCCGCCCCCCCCCCCCCCCGCCCCCCCCCCCCCCCCCCCCCCCCCCCGTCCCCGCCCCCCCCCCCCCCCCCGCCCCCCCCCCCCCCCCCGGCCCCCCCCCCCCCCGCCCCCCCCGCCCCCCCCCCCCCCCCCCCAGCGGTGACGCTTAGAATGATGATGCCCTGGGGCCACTGCGACCTGCAGAACAAGCGACTCCTTGAGCAGGAAACCCGTGAAGTGTGCGTCGTTGGTGAACCTGATCCGGTGACAAAAACCTGGGTTTGGCCTTCAATGCCCTTTGAATAATTGTCTATAATCTTGGGCCATAGGGTTCCTTATAAAGTCCGGGAAGCCGCCCAATCCCGGTGTGTGCGAACGACTTCCTGTATGTCCACCGCGCCGGGCGTCATTCCTACACATCCCAATCCTAGTTGAACCCAAGCCTTCCACTACAAACTCACATACAACCTCATAAGCCCCGAAACCCATAAGAAGCCCCAATAAACCCCCAAATAAGCCTTGTAACACCTATAAGACCTCAAGCTGATCTCAAGCTGAGATGCTAAGTCTCTAGACTCTACGGGTTTTGAGAAGGCGGAGTCCTGTGAGGTTGCGTTGGCATGTGGGGTTCAGGGTGTAGGGTTGAGGGTCTGGTCGTCCCCTGTTGGGTGGTTTAGGGTTTTTAGGGTTTTGGATTCCTTTCTATCACCGAGTCCGAGATCCCCCATTGCCACCTGTCATTGCCGATTTCCATATGAGCCAACAAAAAACCCTCCTCACACCACCGCAAAAAATGAGGGGGCACAATATTTAGAAAAACCGAACAACCTTCATACGGGTAGTGGTCCCTTTGGGGTCTTTTTGTCTACCACAGGAGGCCCGAAAAAAGGTGCCATCATTTAGTATCTAATTTGGGAAGTACCCATGTGGGACCCTAAACCCTAAACCCTAAACCCTAAACCCTAAACCCTAAACCCTAAACCCTAAACCCTAAACCCTAAACCCTAAACCCTAAACCCTAAACCCATGTGGGAGGTACCTTGTCAACTCCGGGCTGAGCCGGTCTGGGGTAGGGCCGCAACCACCGCCTCGAAACAGCCAGGGCTGTGGGCGAAGCTCGGGATGGGGTTTAGGGTTTAGGGTTTAGGGTTTAGGGTTTAGGGTTTAGGGTTTAGGGTTTAGGGTTTAGGGTTTAGGGTTTAGGGTTTAGGGTTTAGGGTTTAGGGTTTTAGTGTTTAGGGTTTAGGGTTTAGGGTTTAGGGTTTAGGGTTTAGGGTTTAGGGTTTAGGGTTTAGGGTTTAGGGTTTAGGGTTTAGGGTTTAGGGTCTGGGGGCTTCAAAAAAAGCTTGAAGTACATTTTATATTATATATAATATACCATAGATTATCTACTATATATTATATACTGTATTATATTTTAGTACATTATAGTATACTAGTATATTCTTGTATATGATAGAATATTCTAGTATATTGTTTAATCAGAAGGCTGACAGCCGGACTTTTGGGGCTCTCGGCTGTCAGAAAGCGCGGTGAAGCTTCGGGAATAGAGCTCAAAACCCCAGACCCCTTCGACCATCGATAAAATTAATATACTGTAGTATACGATAATACACAATAATATACTATAATATACCATAATGCTCTATAATATACTATAATATACTATCTGGTCCTGGCCTCCATGGCTGTCGACCTGGAGCAGCCAGGCCTCACAACGGCAGGACGTCTGCCTGAAGGCATCCTTATAAACCCTAAACCCGTAACCTCATTCCTGAGCCGCGATGCAGCAGCATGTGCTTTCTGATCGCGCCTCGCGACTTTGGAATGCGAAATGTGGACGGAGCAGCGCGCCGCGTACGATTCTCCCACCCTGAAACCCTAAAGCTCGACCCTGAATCTTGCAATCTCCCAAGCCCTGGAAGCCCGGTCAGCCCATAAGCCTGTCCTTCCAGAAGCCCATGACTCGAACACGCACTCCCTCTGCCTGATTGGACTCCGCCCTCCAGCGGACCAAGTCTACTGGGCTCACCTCGTTGGGGAAATCTATGGGCCCGAATAGTCAGAATAGGGTTGTTTTAGCAATCATTCCGACCCCCCCCATATTACCATTGGGAGTCCAGTTATACTTTTAAGTAGGGTTAGAAGTCAACTACCCTGAACCTCCAAGTAGGGACGGTTCGAGCACTCAAGGGTTTCAGGGTTCTTGGGGCCTGTAAAGTGATAGGGTTCCAAGGTGTAGGGGGACCCGGAGACAAGGGTTCTGGTGTTTTCGGCTTGGGTATAGGGGTGCCCCAAGCCCTAAGCCCGAAAGCTTAGCCAAAAATGCTAGCAGACAGACTATGGTTCGACCAGCCCATTCTTGGAGTTTGAAGGTACAGCCCATGGTGCGTCATTGGCTTGTGCAGAAGGGGAAGCATGGCAAGTTGGCAAGGCGAGCTTGTGCAAGAGAGTGAGAGAGAGCGAGAGAGAGAGAGAGAGAGAGAGAGAGAGTTAGAGAGTTTAACAGTTTAACAGGCATGTTTGCTCCTTCAGCCAGCTACCATGTCATTGCTCATGTGCTGGCTCTACGGATGGGCACGGATGTCCGATATATGGTCTGCTGAGAGCATTCGGACACCCGGACTTTTGTTCCGCAATGCACTTCGGCATTTGCACCGCTTTACTGGGAAAATCTATCTCGGAAGCCCGGAAGCTGCAGCAAATGTGCATGGTGCATTTGCGTGCGAAGCCGGGCACGGACCATCCGCCCATAAACTGTTGCCAAGAGTGGTGCAGTGATGAGAAGATGGGCATTGATGGTCCAGGCCGACATTTACGCTAAAGACACTTCTGCCTGGTAGACTCACGCCGAGTCCTGTGCAGCACACTCTGGGCCCCGGTGGTACACGAATGCGCCGAGGATTCTGTGACTGCAGAGCAGAACCACTTGAATTCAATACACCTACTGCTAGGCATTGAGGAGCTAGTCGGGGCCGAGGAGCTAGTCGGGGCCGAGGCGGGGGGGGGGGGGGGTCAGGTTCATGTTGGCGGGTGGGGGTTCCCTTGCACCTGCCTTGTCAGCCTCTTGACTGCTTGCCAGTCAGGCTGGTGTCGAGAAGGGCGAGGATGGCGCATAGGCCGATATTGACATGGCTCCTTGCACCTTGGGGGGCGGATCGGCGCAGACCTTTAAGGCTAAGCCGCATAAAGATAAGCTTGAAACTGCCTGGCGAAGGCCCTTGCCTGCAAGTTGGGGCTTGGATCTTTATGAACCTGACTCACATGCTACGCATCATGAAGTTTTACCTTGGCCAACACGGGTTGCACAAGCGAGCCCAGCAGAACCTCCAAGGTGGACATCAGACTATGAGACTCAGACATGTTCGGATTGTCCGGCTCTATCCTTGGCAGCCCCAGCACTGAGCGGCTGCTGCCCATCGAGCCCATGTCATACGTTCCAGAACCCGGGGCTCCGGTGTCGCCATTGCGGTAGGCGCAATTGCAGGAAGTGATGTCCTCGGCAGAGGCACAGCTGGACAAAGCTGTTTCTCGTGAGTTTTCGTTGGTCAAGCTCAGCTCAGCTCCTTGCATTGCTCCCGCAGAGTATGACAGCCCGCCGAAAGCTTAACTCAACACGCATGTTCGGAGATGTTGCGCAAAAGGCGCAACAAACGCGATCTGGCATTAGCAAGGCTTGTACGTACTCAGTCCTAGCCGGCCGAACCAGGTGTATCATGGGTTCCCCTACTACCCTCCTGAAAACTACCCCCCCCCTAGGTTCCCCCCATAATTAAGGCTATTGAGGGATAATTAAGCCTAATTAAGGCTTTTTTTGGGGGGGAACCTAGGGGGGGTAGTATTTTTCCAAGGGGTCGTAGGGTAACCCAAGGGTGTTGGTATTCCGGATGTGCTGTCGCTGTAAACCAGTAAACCATACACAAAGCGTTCAGGAAAAGACAGCTCTCAGATCCGTGCCTGCAGTGTCTGGCGCCAAGGTGAACAGTTCCTCTTCAGCACGTCAGGGGGCAAGCATGGTAGTCACTTAAGGGCGTCAAGGGCCCAAACTCAAGCATTCGGCACGGTAGAGTCCGGTAGAATCTTTCCACACATTCCGTCACATTCATCCGGACTAGCTGCCTTGAGTTGTATAAACCCTAAACTCCTAAACCCTAAACCCTAACAAAACCCTGAACCCTAAACCTTAAACCCCCGGTGGAGGGTCCTGAAGATGCCGGACGAGCTGTGTTTCCCTTTTTTGGGATTGCGCTGCCGGTCCACGACTTTGCTGTACAGCACAGCCTCAGAAACCTTAGCTTGCCACGCTCACCCCATCAAGCGTGCCGATTTGGAGGGGGGGGGGGTCCCCAAGAATTAGGGTACCCATTCTGGGAGGTCCTACAACAAGAGCGTACTCTATTTTATAGGGTATCTGGACAAAAAAAACAGGCGCTCATGCGCCCTCGCAGCCCACTGAGGTTGAGCCCTGAACCCATATTTGCAGCTTCGCAGCAACATCGAAAATGGTCATGAAGGGCAATGCCTCGCGGTCTGTTTAGGGTTTTGGGTTTATGGTTTAGGGGTTAAGGTTTAGGGATTCGCCTCTTCTTTCTTCTATCTGCTGCAGTGAAGGGTATCAAGATCTCGGGGGAAAAGGCTGTTGGATGATCGGTCTCAAGACAGTGTCCCCACGAAAGAACCACAGGCACTTTAAGTGCCTTGAGCTGAAAGCTGAGCCTTCTCAAGCTGGAACTGTCTGCCTTCACAAGCTTCAAGTCTGAGGCCAGCGCCACAAGAAACGAGAGAACAGCGCCGCCCAGGCAGAGCAGAGACTTGTCTTCCACAAAGTACTGGCTATCCGGGCTGGTGAATTTGGTATCCGACCTTGCAATGCGAACTCCCGTTCCCCCATTGTGTCCAACTTGGTCACCCAAAGAAGGTCGGAGGCTGCAAGCATGTGTCATTAAGTACTACAGCCTGTCAAAACCGCGACTATGTTGAAATACACGCTATTCATGCCCTGAACGTGCACTGTCATTTGCATCATTTCACAGCGTGTCACTTGCCCACCTCTGGCCACGTGAAAAAATGCTTGACGCTCCCGCGCACTCCAGACATGACCGTTGGAAGCTTTTAGGGTTTAGGGTTTAGGGTTTAGGGTTTGGGGCTTGGGGTTTGGGGTTTGGGGTTTAGGGTTTAGACAAACACAAACAATGTTTGTTCGTAGCGCTTGGACTCTTTGACTTGGCAGCTCCGATCAGGTGACACAAGTTCACATGCCGGCATTCCAAACACCGTAACTTGCTGCAACCTCCTTGCCATTAAAAGGGGGCCAGGGATGTCACGCGGAGACCTTAAGCCAGGGAGCAGAGTCTGGGCGACGGCGAGCCAACTAATGACTCCGGCCTGAGTGTCCCCCAGCAAGTGACCTTCTAAGGCTAGTAGCTCTCGACTTGAAGACGCGGGTTGAGGGATGTTTTAGGGTACAGGAGGAACAGTAGGAGGAACTAGGGTCTTCATTCACTGCTTCGCTGAAGGTCTCTTCGTCGGCCACTGTCATCCGAGATGCGCAACCCACGCCCGCCACCTGGAACAAGAAGGTGGACGAACCGAGAAGGGCCACCTGTCTAGGGACACGCACGTCGCAGCTGTCACTCAGCAAATGGATGTTCTGAAGTTGCGAAGGTTGTCTGCTACAGTCCTGCAGTCCTAGCCACAGGTGGAGAATCACGAGGGCTTGCGGCTTGGGATTGTCATCATGGTTGATCGGCGCTTGCTCTTGCTGCGGTTGTGCCGCAATTGCTGATGGTGATGACTTCCCACTTAGGGTCATGTCAGGAAATGGCAGCGCTGTGCTCCAGCCTCCTCGATCAGCGAAGTGCCTTCCCGATTGTCTGAAATGTGTAGGGCACCTTCGTAGAAGCTAAACGCCTCGTCAAGAACACATGGCGTGGCTTCCACCCGTGATCAGCCTCTATTACTGCTCAGAGAGGTGCCTCCAGGCTGGCCGAACCCCTGAAGCCCACATCACTTGAAGCGAAGCCACACCGACACCCCAAAACGGTGGGTAAGGCTGACCTACTTGATCTGCAAAGCTGCTCATCTTGTTGCAGGTTTACGACCTGCACACGTCCCAGAACCTCTGCAAAACTTCACATGTGACGCTGCCTGCAGACTCACATCCTGCAGGGCATCGCGGTTGAGGAACGCGAAAGCCTCCTCGTAGAAGTCCAAGCAGCAGGAGCAGCAAGTCTGGCTCAAACCAGCAGGTCAAGCTACAGGGCTTTGTTTTTTTGCTTCCCTTCCATTCCCCTTGGTATGCCGGCGACCTGTTCTACTGAATTTGTTCTGTGAACCGTGCAATGCAAAGAAGTCGGGGCTGTTGAATGCCAGAGTGGGGCATCGCGTTTCCAGAACATGGCCTCCTCCTCCCTGCATCCCTAAACCCTAAACCCTAAACCCCAAACCCTAAACCTAAACCCTAACCCCTAACAGGGTTTAAGGGCCAGTAGGAACACCATGCCTAGGGAGCACGAGATGCCAGAAACTAAGCAGATGGTCGTCCTTCTGCGCTATACATGCTATTGTGCAAGCTTCCATTGTAGAGCAACTAAAACCTCTTTCCTTCGCATGGAACCCAGAAACCCAAAACATCCGAACCGTTAACCCTCAGACCCTGCATCCTAGAGACCCTCCAGCATCCCTCAACAAAACTCCTAAAAACTGAGAGCAGCCTGGATGATGATGGCCAGTGGGTTGCCGGCCCTAATGCCCTCCTGCATGACCCACCCCGGCTCCCACACTGGACTCCCGGCTGGATTGCAGGGTTTAGGGCTTCAGGGCTGTATAAGGATTTAAGGGTTTAAGGGGTTAGGGTTTCGGGTTTAGGCTCGGGGTCACGGCATATCGCCGTAAGGGCTTCAAGAACAAAAGGGAGAAACGCAGCCACATGTCCAGCACGCGCCATCCAACATCGACATCAGAAAGACCGGGACGCTCACAGGCAAAGTGGCAAACTGCTGGGGGGGTGGGGGGGGGGGGGGCGAGGAACCC